AATATTTTTGAGGAATTAGTGAAGTGCTACATAATAGATACTACTGGTATTTTTCATGTATGTGTTGAAAATGAATTCTATCGTAAAGTATGTAGGTAATATTGAGATAACACCTTAAAATTTTATTTAAAACGTTTTCTTTTAATTAAGCTTCTGTAATAAAACATACATCACACAACTAAGATGTTTCAGCCAACTGTTGATTTCTTCCTGCAAAAAGGATTTACTTTTCATATGCTCAAGTCCCTTCAATATACTCAGTATTTCCTTCAAAAATAGTTTATATGTATGTATTTTTTTCTTTTAATGGTAAAGTAACTATTTTAATCTCTGAGAATAAATTAAGCGTCCTTCCATACAGATTTCCCAATTTCTTTGTATAGGGTCTCTAAGAAAAACCTCTTTCCTACTTCGAAAAATTCCTATCTTTGAAGATGTTCAGAGGTATAAAGATATGCATTCTAAGAATTTATTTCAACCATAATGACATAAATATGTTGAATTAATTTTCAACTGTACAAAGGAAATACACCAACAAAACAAAAAAGCATTTAAACATCTCAGCCATTACAAATCCACTCTAAAATTATTATCATTTTAGTTTTATACAGATTATCATACTCATCTTGAATACTGTTTGGATGTATCCTCAAAAAAAATTTTTTTTAAGTCAGCCAGATGGACACTATAGCAGAATCACATCAGAGAGCAGGCTGAAGGATGACGGACCTCATCCTATAGTTGGGCTTACAGGGTGGTAACCTTGGAAACTGTGGCCAACATCCAGTGTTGGATGGCACTATGAAAAACCCAGTATTTCCTCCAAAATACCCTACCATTATTTTGAGATTGTATGAGAAATGCCAAATAGACTGCTCTCATGGTTATTTCCTTTAGTACTGAAATGACACACATACCAATACATGTCAAGAACTTTCAGCAAAATTTTCTAGCACCACTTGTACTTCCTTGGAATGTGACATCACACTATACCATTTACTAAAGGGAACTGAAGTTGGAAGCAGTTTTTGGCAAAGAGAATAATGCCTTTCTGCTGTGTTCTCTCTTCAAGAACTAAAGGGTTAGTATGAAGTTAAGAAAAGGAGGAAGAAAGGAGAAGGAACTTACAAAGATTGAATGTTACACATTCTTTGCATGTTTAAAATATTACATGCTACATGTACTTTAAAAAATAGTTATGCATATTTGGTACCAGGTTTTGTGTCAAGTACATTATGCATATTATCTTTCATGCTCACCCTAACACTGAAGCAGATATTTTTATCTCCATTTCACTGAAACTTTCATAATGTACAGGATTCTCTTTCCAGTGAGGTTAACAACTTGTCCAGGTTCACACAGCTACTATATGCCAGAGCTGGGAGGTAAACTCATGTCTATTTCACTCTACAGATCACTCTTTTCAGTGGCAGAACCATACTGAAAGTTTCCCTGTTCACACAGGTAGTGAGTGGTGCAATTAGGACTCAAACCCGTATGTCTTGACTCCAAAGACTGTGCTATCTACTATACTATGTTGTCTCTGAGCAATGAAAAGAGATGTTCTTCTTAGTCATAATATACATACATATATATACATTGAAGGCTTACTTGACTTTTTAGGTAATTCTCCATTGCTTCTGCTAATAAGGAAATCTATATGATTGATATCTACCTCAATAATACATAGAAAAAGCCAAATGGGGTGATTGCTTCATTTATTCTACCAATAGGAAAGCAGTCATGATAGAAAGGAAAAAGTGAGGAAAATCATAATAATGATGATGATGGTAATAACATTAACAATAATAATCACTTACATAGCACTTGCTCTTTGCCAGGCACTGCTCTAAGTTGTTTAGTTGTACTGATTTATTTAGCACAACAATCCTATTAGGTAGGTACAATTATCATTTTCATATAAGCAGGGTTAAGGAAACAGATACAAAGAGGTTAAGTCATGTCCCTAAGGTCACACAACTGTAAGGGGTAGAGCTAGGACCTAAAACCCAGGTTATCTGGCTCCACATTCCATGGTCTTAACCACTAGGCTATTGGGCCCCTCTTTGTAGAAAGAAACAACTAGAAAGGGACAACTTAAAAAAAAATGCGAGGTTATTTTGTTTACAAGGTTACCAACTGGATGGTGATTCCATCATATTACTGTCAACAGATGTTCTGAACAGTGAATTTGCTAATCTGCTTCAGCAAAGAATTTAAATTTGTTCTGATTGATTACTTATGCTTTTAAAATCAGTTAAGTGGGGATTTCAGTAAAGCACAATATATTTAATAAATTCAAATTAATGTTTAATCCTAACCTATCTTTATCTACAAAGTCTAAAGAATTAAGGTGAAATATAGAGTTAGCCTATGTCTTCTCATTTTGTAGACTTACAAAATGTTTTTTTCTTTCCTTCAAACATGTTCCAAGCTTATGTCACATAATATTTTGCTTAGAAAAGGCACATTCAGTGTGTTTGTGTGTATATTAATCTGGATTCACTTTTTAGGACTTCCCATGACCACTTGCCAGTTCCTTCAAGCATCAAGTACAGTTAGTGGGCTCAACATGATGAAAAAAGACATCTATTAGATCTAATTAGGAAAGACATCCCAAATAAGTGCACTGTGATTAAAAATAAAAGGAAACACAGGTGTACTTAAAGGCAAAGTTTACATTTAACCCCTCCACCCTTCTTTTTTCTTAAGTCACATTTTTCTTATAAACTTTTTTCTTCCCCAACTGGAATCATATAGTGACCAAGTAAACGATGAGCCAGAATAATGGCACTGAGGATCAATGCAATTAACATCAATAGAAGGCACCCTACTTTCAAAAGTAAGTAGTGTTTACCTTTTCAATGAGTCAGTTCTAACAAACATATACTCTTACTTTCTGATTTCAGAAATAATGACTTTATTTATTTATGTACAAGCAGAATTACCACTAATCTGCCTATACAATATGAAAACAGATTCCTTCACCAGTGTATAACTGGAATATTTATGCACAATTAAATTTACTTTACTTGAAAATGCACAATCATCATTCCTAACATATATTTTTTAGACCTGACCAGAAAAATTCTTTTAATTCTAATCAATCATCCTCTGCTTACTTTGGCAATTTAGAAACAACAGGAAAATATCTGCATGGTACAGACAGTATTTGTAGTTTGCAAAACTAGCTTTTTTGTAACTGTTCAACACCAATAGGAGAGCTTGATTTTCATAAAGAATCTCCCAGAAAAAATAACATAAGAACTAAACTATTATTTGTTGATACAAGAAATAATTAACTTTAATTAAAGTTTGATAAGTTAGAAAGCTGATGGTGAATACTTTTAATCTGGGGGGAAAGGGGAAGTAGAAGTTTTAAAATAAATCCAATAATTTTTGCTATTATTTTCCCAAAAAGGATGAAGATTTTCAACAACAGAAAGATGATAACTACCAGGTACAGATCATCCACTAAAAATAAAAATTGGGGAAGGCAGCAGGTTTCTTTTCTTTTCTTTTTTTTTAGTTTTTCCTCCAGCGTTACTGAGGTATAACTGACATAAAGAATTGTACATATTTAAAGTGTACAACAGGATGATTTGATATGCATACACTTTGTGGAATTATCACAATCACATTAACTAACACAGCTATCACCTCACATAGTTACTATTTTTGTTTTGTGGTGAGAATGCTTAAGATTTACTATCTTAGCAAATTTCAAGCATACAATACAGTATTATTAACTACTGTCACCATGTTGTCTTTTAGATCCTCAGAACTTATTCATCTTATAACTGAAAGCTTGTATCCCTTTGAAGGTTTATTGTAGTGTAAGTCCTCACAGTTAGCTTTTTTTTTTGAATTTTATTTTATTTAGCTTTTATACAGCAGGTTCTTATTAGTTACCAATTTTATACATATTAGTGTATACATGTCAATCCCAATCTCCCAATTCATCCCACCACCACCACCACCCCCTGCCACTTTTCCCCCTTGGTGTCCATATGTTTGTTCTCTACATCTGTGTCTCTATTTCTAGGCAGCAGGTTTCTTATTTCTTTTGAGAGTACTTATTAAATATATAGCGTTAAGGTACCTTTATTTTATTCTTTGATTTTTAGACAAATTTATCTCTTGGATAATTTTAAGTGTGTTTATTTTCAGCAATCACTTGTGGCTGCCTGAAAATATGGAGAACAGCAATAAACACATAGAAGGGTTGGAGCCAATGAAATGCTATTTGAAGAAAGCAGAATTTTTCTATTTGAAAAACATTTTGGTTTCCACAAAAATGTAGTTTAGTTTTTTCTTCCACAGATTGTTATATCCTATGTAACCATATTACTTTCATCTTTTCAGCAAAAGCATCAAAGCTTAAACCATAGTTACATTCAATATTTCTACACTTAAGCATTCAACTCCTAAATTTACAAGCTCCTCACTTATGAATACAATATATAGCTTGACTTACTATCCTGCATTGTATAAGTGGAATTTCCCTGGAGTGTGACTTGCTCTCCCAAGAGGACAGGGTTTCTCCTTTCCTCAAACTGTCAAACAGTTAGCAAGTGGCTATGGATAGGAGAGAGCAAAGTTCCATGTGAATTACATCTCTGTATAAACTTATCGATTCTCTAACCCCTTCCCAAGTGGCCTTTATTTACTCTCTATCAGTTGGAGATAAATAGGTCTATCCTAAGCAAGGCAAATGTGTCACCCCACCCGCCCCCACCGCCCTGCCCCCTTTACCTTTTTGATGGCATCACTGACATGAAAGTAAATGATAGTGAACTATTATGACCCAGTTTTATATCTACAATGCTGGGCCAGCAGAACAGGTACTATACAAGGGAGATAATTCAGAGACGGATGATGAGGCTCAAGCAGAAGAGATTCTGAAGGCTTGTATGATTATTTTTGCAAATTGTTATAAGAATGTCTCATTATCCTATAATTAAATTTCACTTAGTAATTCCATTTATATATATCTGTACCTGGTAAATCAGAGAAGAGAAGAATGCACTCATTAAAGCCATTAGACAAAAGCCGGTCACGCAGCTGCTGAAGAATTGCTACTCCGATACAGAATGGGAAGGAGGAATTCCCAAGCAGTAAGGTATCCCAGAGGTGGAAAATTTTGTGCAGTGGAAATACATCTGTAAAATGACAAATATAAATAAATTAATTGAGATTAAAAATAAAAAATTAAAACAATAAACTACTTTACTAGACATGGTAATTCCTTTATGGTCAAAACTATTACAGAACAAATACTGGCAAACTGTTTTTTATAAAATGCGTATTTGGCTTTGTAGATTTACTGCTTCCTAAGGCATCTTAAAAAACTGATAAACAGATTGATCAAATAGATGACATTTTCTAGCCACCATTATCAATCTTGGTATAGCTGTTACGTTCATTCTGTTTCTTCCTAGAATTTTCAGGTCATATTATTCTCACAAGTTTATATACTTAGAAGAATTTTAGTATTGTTATAGATTCAGTATCATTATATTTCTATTATGCACTCTAAAAACTGCTTTTTAACATTCCCATAAAAAAATCTGATTAGCAATTTTTTATTTTTGGAAACTTTCTTTTTTTCATTTATCAATACTCTGAAAATCTTTCCAGGCCAGTGCATACAGATCTACTTCAAATATTGTATTCCATTAATCATATGTACATATTTAAGCAGAATATCCACTGTATTAATATCTGTAACTGATTAAAGTATTATATATTCACATAAACTGTTTATTTCTAGAGGAATTCTAGGATAGGAAATAACAAAAGTATTAGTTATTAGACAATCTCTAAAAATTGAGTCTGATTTGGTTGTAACAGTTGCCTTCCAAAACTCTATGTACATACTATAGTTAATATTAATTTATTTTTCAATAGGGGGCAGAGATTTTATGAATGTCATGATATGTCAGATAGGTTTTCATCTTATAGAACAACCTTTTTGATATTTAGTAGTCAGAACAATTGAAAAAAATTTCTACCCAATTATATTACCTTAGAATTACATAAGGATGCTCATGTAATTAAATCTGCTTAGTATTATTGTAACTATAATATACTGGGGAAGAATGGAGCTGTTCTTTTGCTAATACAATATTGAAAGAAAAGGGAAAATGATACTTACGAGTAAACATGGTGAGAAACCAAGGGATGGCATAGAGCTATGAGTGGAAAAAGATAGGGATGCAGGGGATGGATAAAGAGGAAATAAAAGAGATAATTAGAATGACTTCCAGTAAACTGAATGGTAAAAAAAGCTCTATGTTTTGGTCTACTCCACTGATTAAAAACATTCTTTAACACCATATGCAGAAATAAACTCAAAATGGATTAAAGACCTAAATGTAAGGTTGGATACTATAAAACTCCTAGAGGAAAACATAGGCAGAACACTCTTTGACATAAATCACAGCGATATTTTTTTGGATCCACCTCCTAGAGTAATGGAAATAAAAACAAAAATAAACAAATGGGGCATAACTAAACTGAAAAGCTTTTGCACAGCAAAAGAAACCATAAACAAAATGAAAAGACAAACTATGGAATGGGAGAAAATATTTTAAAATGATGAGACTGACAAGTGATTAATTTCCAAAATATATAAACAGCTCACACAGCTCTATATAAAAAAAAATCAAAAAAATGGGCAGAAGATCTAAACAGACGTTTCTCCAAAGAAGACATACAGATGGCCAAGAGGCACATAAAAAGATGTTCAACATCACTAACTGTTAGACAAATGCAAACCAAAACTACAATGAGGTATCACCTCACACTGGTCAGAATAGCCATCATCAAAAAGTCTACAAATAATAAATGCTGGAGGGGGTGTGGAGAAAAAGGAAGCCTCCTACACTGTTGATGGGAATGTAAATTGGTACAGCCACTATGGAGAACAGTATGAAGGTTCCTTAAAAAACTAAAAACAGAGTTACCATATGATCCATCAATCTCACCCCTGGGCATATATCTGAAGAAACTCTAATTCAAAAAGATACGTGCACCCAAATGTTCATTGCAGCACTATTTACAATAGCCAAGACATGGAAGCAACCTAAGTGCACACTGACAGATGAATGGATGAAGAAGATGTGGTATATACATACAATGGAATATTACTCAGCCATAAAAAAGAAAGAAATAATGCCATTTGCAGCAACATGGATGGGCCTAGAGATGATCATTCTAAGTGAAGTAAGGCAGACAGAGAACAACAAATATCATATGATATTGCTTAGATGTGGAATCTAAAAAATTGATACAAATGAACTTATTTATAAAACAGAAATAGACTCACAGATATAGAAAACAAACTTACAGTTACCAAAGGGGAAAGGAGGGGGGATAAATTAAGAGTTTGGGATTAACATATACACACTACTGTATATAAAATAGATAACCAACAAGGACCTACTGTATAGCACAGTAATAACCTATAATGGAAAAGAAATCTAAAAAAGAATATATATATATATATATATATATATATATATATATATATGTATGTATAACTGAATCACTTTGCTATACACTAGAAACTAACACAACATTGTAAATCAATTATACTTCAATAAAAATTTTAAAAACTAAAAGAGAATCTAAATAATTATAATTATTATCACAAATATTCTATTAAATAATGACATCTATTACAAATGCTGCAGATGAATAAGCCAAGGCTTATTCCACAGAGTATTGTTTTCTACAACCAGTACTCTATAGTGAAGTCACATACCTCTGTACTCCTCAGTTTCCCCATTTGAAATGGCTGTGTCAGTGCATATAAGTGATGATCTTGTAGGGAGCAATGGGTTTATTCCACAGAGTATTTTCATTTCATCAAAGACTACACTCAAGACAATGCCTAATCCAATCACAATACTAGCATGCTAATTTCAAAGGTCTACTTTTCAAAGGAGAACTTTGTTCTTAGGAATAAAATATTCCTAAGATTTGAAGAGTCCTCATCAGTGATGAGTTACCCTTACTGAGTATTTTTTAAGACATGATGAGATGAGATTTGAAAAATGTCCAAAATGTCTCATTAAAAAAATTTTATGAAGCTTATGCCTTCTATCACCACTTTCTAAATTAACAGGAAGCTTCATAAGAGACTAAAAGTAATGAGATCCAGGAATGAAATAATTTGGTTCTTTAGATGAGTGACAAGTTTATTTTCCTAAGTTTACTCTCTAGAAATGAAACACACACACACACACACCAATTAATTTTGTGAGATTTTGAAAGTGAGAAATCATTAATTTCTAAAAGTAGAGTAAAATCTCCTTTGTTAATAACAAGTATCAAAAACCAATAATAATTTATAGAAAAATCTGAAAAAGCTCTACTTTTATGTTTTATGTCAGTGCATGCTCCTATTAGACAAAGATTTTTGTACTATCCATAGCGTTTAAATAAATAGTTTTTCAGCACCTATCAATTGTGAATTTACAAGTAGAGTTGAATATTTCTTTCCATTATACACAATTGAGTATCTATGCTATTAAATGCCAGTCAAGAACCATAAGTACAGTTATAGACTATGTTAAAATCTAAGTACTGTATGTGAAATAAACCCATTGCTCCCTACAAGATCATCACTTATATGCACTGACACAGCCATTACAAATGGGGAAACTGAGGAGTACAGAGGTATGTGACTTCACTATAGAGTACTGGTTGTAGAAAACAATAAAATATAATAAACTCTGAATCTTTCAGCCTAATTTAAATTTAAACATACAGTTTGTATATATAAGTTCCATCAGTATTATTTAACTTTTCTTTCTTTTAAGAATATAACATAAATTATATTATGCTCTATCCTTCTGATCAAAGCCAACTGTTTGTCATTAGGAATCTTACCTGAGTTACTTCAGCAACAAAACTAACAATCCCTTTTATTGAAGAGAGCATGTGTATGAGGAAGAACACAAAGTGGGGAGGAACCACCTGAAAGGATCAGGGGGAAAACATGCCAGGCTCACACAAAGCCAGGCATGGTTCATCCTACCACTAGCTAGAATTTTTTTTAAAACCCTGAAATAAACAAGGCATAAGGTAGAGTACTCAAAAGGATATTGCCTTAGTAATGGGGCAAAATTATGCTCCCAAATTATGCTGCCCTGGTCTCACTTAACAAACCTTAAAAGCAAGCCTTGAAAAGATCAAACTGTTTCAATGTTATCTAGCTGCAGCTCAAAAAAAAGCTCAAGAATATTTACAAGAACATAAAAATATCCAATAACCAACAAGGTAAAATTCACAATGACTGAAATTCAGTAAAAAAATCAGTAGAGCAAAGTAGCAGGAAAAAAATGATCATAATGAGGAGAAAAATCATTCAATCAAAATGGACAAAGAACTAACATAAATGTTTGTAATAGCAGGCAAGGATGTCAAAATGCTTTTTTTTTTTTTGCGGTACGCGGGCCTTTCACTGTTGTGGCCTCTCCCGTTGCGGAGCACAGGCTCCGGACGCGCAGGCTCAGCGGCCATGGCTCACGGGCCCAGCCGCTCCGCGGCATGTGGGATCTTCCCGGACCGGGGCACGAACCCGTGTCCCCTGCATCGGCAGGCGGACTCTCAACCACTGCGCCACCAGGGAAGCCCTCAAAATGCTTTTTATATCTGTGTACATATGTTCAAAAATCTAACAAATGATTGAACACGTTAAGTAGAGACATAGTAGATATAAAAAAGAACCAAAAAACCTCTCTAGAGATGAAAAATACGTTTGAGTTAAAAAATACACTGAATAGGATTAAAAGCAGATCAGACACTGCAGAAGAAGAGATAAGTAAGCCTGAAAATACAGCAATAGAAACTACCCAAAATGAAACATGGACAGGGGGAATAAAGAAAAACAAAACATGTCCTATGCATCAGTGAGCAACTTCAACCAGCTGAATATATATGTTATTGGAGACTGCAAAAGACAGAGAGAAGGTGAGAGGGGACAGAAAAAAATATTTGAAGAAATAATAGCTGAACATTTTCCAAAAGTGATGAAAACTATAATCTGATAGAGTAAATAATCTCAGGAACCTGAAGCATGTGAAACATGAAGAAAACTATACCAAGGTACATCATAATCAGATTTCTCAAAAAATCTTACACCATAGCCAGAGAAAAAAGGCACACTATGTAAAAGCATGAGTGAGAGGACTGTTTTCTTGTCAAAAACAGGGCACAAAAAATGACAGTGGAGCGACATTTTTCAAGTAATTAAAAAAAAAAAACCTATCAACTTAGAATTGTATGTCCAGCAAAAATATCTTTCAAAGGGAAAGGTAAAATAAAGACTCTCACACAAACAGAAACTGAAAGAATTCATCAGCGGCAATCCTGCACTATAAGAAATGCTGAAGTCAGTCCTTCAGGCAGAAGGGAAATGATACCACATGGAGATCTGGACCTATACAGAAGAATGAAGAGACTCAGGATTATAAAAGTGTAGTTAGATATAAAAAACTTTTATTTAAAAAAAAATCTTTAAAAATAAGTGACTCTCGGGAGTTCCCTGGCAGTCCAGTGATTAGGACGCCACGCTTTCACTGCCAAGGGCCTGGGTTCAATCCCTGGCCGGGGAACGAAGATCCCACAACCTGCGTGGCACAACCAGAAAAAAAGTGACTCTCTAAAGCAAAACTAATAATTTATGTGGAGCTTATAATATATGTAGAAATAAAAGGTAGGACAACAATAATACAAATGCCAGGAGGGTAAAATGGAGGTATACGTTGTAAAGTATTTATACTGTACGTGAAGTGGTATACTACTACTTAAAAGCAGATTATAATAAGTTAAAGAATTATAGTATAAACCAGAATTTCTTAACCTCAGAACTATTCACATTTTGCATTAGACAACTCTTTCAGGGGGGAGGTGTAGTTTGAATTTTAAGATTTTTGTAGCAACCCAGCCTCTGTACTAGATGCCAGTAGCACTTGCTCAGTTTTGTCAAAAATGTCTCAGACTTTGCCAAAAAATCCCGTGGGAGGCAAAACTGCCCCTGGTTGAGGACCACTGTGTAAATCTTAAAGAAACCAATAAGAAAACAACAAAGAGTTATAGCTAGTGTCTTAACAAAGGAGATAAAATAGAATCACAAAAAATATATCCAACAAATCCGAAGAAGGCAGATAAAAAGGAAAAAGAG